TTTATGAATAATGAAATTGTAGACCCGATTTTTGAATTGTGATCTTTAGACACCTGGTATTATGTAATTTCCTCTATATAATATTAATATATTAAATATAACATCATGTGAGAATAATTTTTTGAACCATTATAGTCTTATTATAATTCAATTATTTCAATAATATCTTACGTTTTTCAACATGTATTTAATTTGCAAATTGTAATAAATATTATAATTAATTCTCAATTAAACATTGACATCCATTTAATTAATATTCACATTCACGTCCATGTCCCTGTTATTAATTCTCAATGAATAAATATTCATATTCATTTAATTAATATTAATTAAAATCTTATATTTAAAAATGCAGTTCATTATTCACGTCCATGTACGCTAATTAGCATTCAATTTCACTTAATTGAAAATTAAATTATATTAATTTAATATAAACGATTTAACATTCATTGTCATGTATATATTTCTTGGTATTAATTCTAAATTAATTAATATTAACGTTAATTCATATATTGAATTTGTCATTCATTTTCATTTATACATTTAGTTGTAATCTTAACTCTATTAGACGATAACCACCCACTATCACCCGTTCTGTTTCTCTTGAGCAATTAATTTATTAAGCCCATATTTGGTATAAATTAAAATTAAAATTTTAATATAAGTCAAAATCAACAATTAATTTTAATCATATATTTAGAAAGATACAGAAACTTTTAAGTCATACATCCCATCAACTTTTATCAAAATCTATTAAAAATCTTATTTTAATCGGCAAACAGGTGCTACGGGAGGACATGAGCATTAAAAGAAGACAATTAAAGAGTTGAAATTTTGACAATGAAAATGAAGTTTTCCTCATTGCTGACAACGTATGCAATTATTCATTTTGCAAGGCACAGATTTCTTAAGATTCCAAAAACAAAAAGTAGTACACTTCATTACTTTAAGAAGACATATAACATCAAAATGTCAATTTTAATTGTTTGAAAAGTGGAAAGTATTAAAGGTGCAATGGAAATAAAAGAAAAGAGAGGCTGAATCTGAAAGCATTGGAGGGTGTTCATACTTTGACCAATATATTATGGTTAAAATTTATCAACAAAACTAACTCACGGTCTCGAAAAAATAACTCTCAAAAAGGCACTAATAACTTGTTAAAAGGAGGACGGGTAAGTCAATATATGAGCGTAGAATTCATATCAAAAGATATAATCAAGAACGTTGGAGTGTATATTCATCAGTTCTATTTATAAATAGTGGAGCTATCGTGTAATACTAAACTGATAGATGATAGGTTTGATTCTATTGTAGAATTCTATTATGGAATTTGATTTAATTGGGGAGTTTAAATAAAGTTGATAAATCATAAATTTTTGTTACGATTATTGGCTTCATGTCAAGAATGTTGTAATGTGTATTGTAGGATGTTCTATTTATAGTTAGTGGAAGTACCATGTTATATTATGCTGACAGGTCTAAAATTTAACTTCAATTACATAATTCATATCAAGAGATACTGTCCTTATTTGAAAGTGATTATTCGGAAAAAAATAAAAAACACCCAACACATATTTTCAATTCCAAAAATTATTTTTCACATTTTTTCACAAATTCTCCTTATTTTTTAACCACACATTCTAAAAAATAATAATAATAATAATATTAAAAAAATAATAATAATAATAAATCACTTTTTTTAAAAATTCACTTCACACAAGCACATAAACAAGAATGTTGCTACATGGAACTAAGTGTAACTCGAGAGTTTGTACTTATGAGGAAGTTCTATTTACAGTCAGTGGAGGTACCGTCTTCTAATAATGAAGTCCTTTATAGTGGATTTGTCTTGTCGTAGAGTTCGACTATATCTTTTAAGCGTCATTTTTACCCTTGTCACTATATATTTCTCCTTTGGAAGATGTGCAACTCTTACTTCTCTTCAACCAAATTCTATTCAGTTCATGGATATTGATTTCTGTGGGGATCTACTGGGGGGTTCGTACTGGATTTTCTTGGTTAAACTTCCATGGCAGAAACCAGCAAAACAGCTTGCAAAACCTTCACAAATTCACATGCTATGTCACTCTTTCTTCTCCTTCTCTTTTTCGTTCCCCTTTACGCTCGCCGTATCAACTCTCCGGCTTTATTAGAGGTGTCTTTAGCATCACAAGGAAGAGTCGTCCTTAGTTCTCATAGAAGTAAGCATTCCACCGCCAAATTCAACGGTGGAGCAACCACTTCTCCTCCCAAGAGTACAGCTCCTACTCCTCCTGGTAGGGGTGGTGGTACCAAGATGGCGAGGAGTACAAACCGAGAATTTCAGGCAGCTGCACATGAGGTTCCCAGAGGCCCGAATCCTATTGGCAACGGATAACAATTATCTTCTTCTGCAGACTGCAGTTTGGCATGAATTTCTACATCATGGTTTTCTTCACCTTCATTGCTAGAAATAAATAAGTTGCTTGTTTTATAAGTAACTGTTTATAATTGAGAAAAGATTGCATATTCAAACATATTTTAAAAATAAAAGTATATTTCATTTACTTTTCAAAGCTTAGCCAAGCATGTTGTTATTGATTCTTTGTCAGTTCATGACCACTGTAGCACATGTGTATGCAGGGGTGGAGCTAGCATTCAACGAACCATGTCTACTGCTTGTGCTGGCTCTGTTGAGAAATTTTTTTCCATATATTGGACGGTCGTCTAACAGTCACTTGCTCGTTCGTCTAGATCCTTTCTAACTCACTTGAATTTGTGGATCAGCCATTGTGTGTACACGTTTGTAGACGATATTTACTCGCTAGTCCTAGACTTTTTTTTAAATTATTTATTTATTTCAATCAAACAGGTTTTCTTAATAATTAATGGGCTGTCCTACGTTTATGCCAAAAATGATTGTCGTGACAGGTTGACACATAGTATTAACTGTTTTGTTGGCTCACTTTCAATCAATCAATTTACGTGGAAAAACTTAATAAATCAAAAGACTAAGAGTGAAAAGATCGTAAAGAAAAAAGGTTTGTGTCTCAATGCTCTTTTCATGCTTCGAGTTACTATGCATCTTGATGTGTACTTCGTTGGTTCCCTGTTATTGTCATCGATCAGAGTTTGAAGTTGATTTCAACTCGAATTATAAAGCGTGGATCATCGGATCAAATATTACAGCCTACCAGGATGAAAAATTCAATGCCCGGGCATCGTATGCCAGACCACCACGTATATTATTGAAAAAATATAAAAATTTAAAAGGAAAAAAAAAATCAATGGCCAAAAACTTTGGTTTGAATCGACGACAAAAAAATTTGCTACTTTTTAGCATACAACCGCTCAGTTGAAAGCTATGAAACAAGTATGCTATAGTTCAAAATTGGAATGACACAATATCGAGAAGTGGTTGCACTCGCTATAGCGATGTCAATCGGCTCGGCCCTTAAAGCCACGAGCTCGGCTCGGCTAGACTCGTGGCTAGTTGAGAAACGAGCTCACTAGCCAAGCCGGCTCGGCTCTTGGCTTTTTTATTTTTTGGCTTTTAGTAGGTTTTTTTTTTTAATGTTTTTTTCACGAGCCCACGAGCCGCTCGCCTCCCTAACAAGTCGAGCAGGCTCGGCTCATCTAGCGATTCGGCCCACTCGACTCGTGCTCGGGCTCGGGCTCGTCAAAATGGCTCGTTGGTCGTTACAGTACGAGCCGAGCGGCTGAGCCGACGAGCCACTCGGCTCGATTGCCACCACTAACTCGCTAGGGAAAGAAAAAGGATAGATGATTGAAAATTCCGCTTAGACATCGCAGATATAGTCAGAGTAGTACATATTCATTTTCAAGAAGGAAGAAGAAAAAAAACTTAAATTATAGTCAATTAATTTTATATGATCCTTCAGATCTGGATAAAGTCCTCAAGACTTGTACCCTTAATATTCCTTAGACCCTCGAGCAATTAATTTATCAAGGGGAGTGGGGACATGAGCATCCCATCAACAAGATAAGTGGTGAAATTTCACAAGGATATGCCCCAATGGAATCTCCCTTGCTTAATATATTGCATGGAATTCATTTCAAGAGATATAGTCCTTATTTGGTGTAAATTAAAATCAAAATTTTAATAGATTTTGATAAAAGTTGAAATGTTTCATTAAAATTAACTGTTGACTTTGATTTGAGATTAAAATTAAATTTTAATCTATACCAAATAAGGGCATAATCAAGAATGTTGAAACGTGTATCTAGTATAGAAATTGAGTGTAAAGAGGGAGTTTGTAGGAAGTTCTATTCATAGTTTGTAATGTACTATGTTATACTAAGCTCATAGATGATAGAATTTTGTTTCGGTTATAGAATTCACATCAAAAGATATAATTAAGAACGTTGAAATAGGTATTTCATATGGAAATTGAGTGTAATTGGGGTGTTCGTAGAAAGTTGTATTTATAGTTAGTAAGTGGACGTAACGTGTTGTACTAAGCTGAAAGATCATAAATTTTGATTTTGAACATAGAGTTTATATCAAATGATGAAAGAAAGAATGTTAGTACGTCTCTTGTAGGAAGTTGTATTTATAATTAGTGGAAGTATGGCGTTTTACTAAGTTGATAGATAATAATTTTTTGTTTCGATTATAAAATTTGAAATCAAGAGACCGATCAAAATTGCTGGAACTTGTATTATTCGGGAATTGAGTGTAATGGGAGAGTTTGTACTTCGTAGGAAGTTCTATTTATACATTATAACTAGTTGAAGTACCGTGTTATATTAAACTATACGTCATATACTATCGATTTTTGTTTCGATTATACTAATGAAGTCCTATTTATATTGGATTTGTCTCATTATTCAGCTGTATGTGAGCGTCCTCAATTTCTAGAGATTTACTGGGGGGTACAACTGGATTTTCTTGGTTACATTTTCATGGCAGAAACCTGCACAAAATCTCAAGCTACGTCGCTCTTTCTTTTCCTTCTCTTTATCGTTCCCCTTTCTGCTCGCCGTATCAACTCTCAGGCAATATTAGAGGTTTCTTTAGCATCAAAGGGAAGAGTGGTAAATCAATCCACCACCAAATTCCACGGCGGAGCAACCACTTCTCCACCCAATAGCACAACTCGTCCTCCTCCTGCGGCTGCTGGTACCACAACGGCGAGGAGTACAAACCGAGAATTTCAGGCAACCGCACATGAAGTTCCAAGCGGCCCGAGTCCTATTGGCAATGGATAATATCATCNAGCCAAGCCGGCTCGGCTCTTGGCTTTTTTATTTTTTGGCTTTTAGTAGGTTTTTTTTTTTTAATGTTTTTTTCACGAGCCCACGAGCCGCTCGCCTCCCTAACAAGTCGAGCAGGCTTGGCTCATCTAGCGAGTCGGCCCACTCGACTCGTGCTCAGGCTTGTCAAAACGGCTCGTTGGTTGCTACAGTACGAGCCGAGCGGCTGAGCCGACGAGCCACTCGGCTCGATTGCTACCACTAACTCGCTAGGGAAAGAAAAAGGATAGATGATTGAAAATTCCGCTTAGACATGGCAGATATAGTCAGAGTAGTACATATTCATTTTCAAGAAGGAAGAAGAAAAAAACTAAAATTATAGTCTAATTAATCTTATAGGCTCATTCAGATCCGGAAAAAGTCCTCAAGAATTGTACCCTTAATATTCCTTAGACTCTTGAGCAATTAATTTATCAAGGGGGGTGGGGACATGAACATCCCATCAACAAGACGAGTGGTGAAATTTCACAAGGAAATGCCCCAATGGAATCTTCCTTGCTTAATATATTGCATGGAATTCATTTCAAGAGATATATTCCTTATTTGGTGTAGACTAAAATCAAAAATTTAATAGATTTTGATAAAAGTTGAAATGTGTTATTAAAATTTACTGTTGACTTTGATTTGAGTTAATTTTAATCTATACCAAACAAGGGCATAATCAAGAATGTTGAAACCTGTATCTAGTATAGAAATAGATTGTAAATAGGGAGTTTGTAGGAAGTTATATTCACAGTTTGTAACGTACTATGTTATACTTAGAGATGACAATTTTCCCCGTTCCGAAAGGGTTGGCGGGGCGAGGCGATGTTCGCCTCCTCGTCTCGGGTCGTGGGGTGGGGCGAGGCGAAGATGCCCCGCCCCGTGAAGAATTTAAAAAAAAAATTGTTTTCGACATTGTTTGTTTTGGAAATTTTTTGTTTCGAGTGCTTGTTTT